AGGGGTAGGAGGAGGGGAGGAGGTGTTGGACTAGGGGGAGGAGGAGGGGAGAAGGTGTTGGAGTAGGGGGAGGAGGAGGAGGAGGAGGGGAGAAGGTGTTGGAGTAGGGGGAGGAGGAGGAGGAGTAGAGGAGGAGGGGAGAAGGTGATGGAGATCGAATGAAGAAGGTCGTGGAGGAGGAGTAGGGGGCATGAGGAGGAGGAGGAGGAAGAGGAAGAGGAAAGGTGTTGGAGTAGGGGTAGGAGGAGGGGAAAAGGCGTTGGACTAAGGGGTGGAGGAGAAGGGGAGAAGGTGTTGGAGTAGGGGGAGGAGGCGCAGGAGGAGGAGGGGAGAAGGTAATGGAGATTGAATAAAGAAGGTCGTGGAGGATAGTTGAAAAATGTTGACGGTTAAAAAATATACCGCCACCACCGATTTCTAGCCATTGGCACAATGCTAAAACAGTCGAGCTGCTACTGACTGCAACGTGCATTGTTTATTCTATTGTCTAGTATGTCTACTAGCTGAAACTTGCTGTATGCATTCCATTGATTCAATGGTAACTTACCTCGGTCAGACAGCAAAGCTTGGTTGTACAAGACAGCACATTTTAACCAGTATTAATGGCTATAGCATCACAAATCAGGAATAAACAGAGAATAAACACATATGTTGTTATCTACTCCTGATAATGTGAATAATTCAACTATCCCCCTCCTACTCCTCCTCCTCCCCCTCCTACTCCCACATCACCTCCCTTCGATCTCCATCACCTTCTCACCTCTTGCTCATCTATCACTGTCTCCCCTCCTCCTCCTTCTGCCCCTCCTCCTCCTGCCCCCTACTTCCCCTCCATCACCTTCTCCCCTCCACCTCCTCCTCCTCCTCCTCTTCTACGACCTACTCCAACACCTTCACCCATCCTCCTACCCCTACTCCAACACCTCCTCCTCCTCTTCCTCTCCCTCCCCTCCTCCTCCCCCTACTCCAACACCTTCTCCCCTCCTCCTCCTCCTCCTCCTCCTCCTCCTGCCCCCTACTCATCCTCCATGACCTTCTTCATTCGATCTCAAGCCACGCTTTTTTGTGTTTTCATCCTCGATAATTTTCTAGCTGCATTTTTTTTATTTATGCTGTTATCGATGTAATGTATGCTTTAGTAATTATCGAAATAAATAAATCAAAAAAAATAAATCTAAATCATCTACAATCAAATCTGTGTTAGTGGACAATAATGTAACCCAACAAGAGTACAGAATACAGAGTATAGTCCCCTAGCTATAGCTGGACCATACTGTTCAGGTCTCTTGTTGGTTGGGTCACACATTATTATTATTTATATCTAGACTATATAGGTAATCAGCCTAGTGTCTACCTGACATAACAACCCCACCTCTGCTATGGCGCGATGATTTAACGACACAGCTTGCCCCAGCGGTGTGCTGCCGTCCTTAACACTTGGTGCCTCTAGATTGTCCCACGGCCGGTTGACATCCACGCTGCGCCGTATCAGCTGTTGTAGAGACAGTATGTCGTTCTTCATGACAGCGATGTGCAGCGCCCGCACATCGACCGACATCCCTGTGTCCGTGTCTGCTGATGGGGTATTGCCCATGTTGCCGGCGATGCCTTCATGTCGTCACACTACTATATTGCAATAAATGTTAGGGGTACAGTGGTACACCAATCCTAGGCTCCTACCATAGCTCCTACTAATGCTTTGCCACGACATTTTCGCATTGCAATGGCGTACGGTTGATCAGCTATCACGCTTTGTGACAGCTGTTTGTTTGTTGTTGTGCGTAACTACGCTATTTGGCCACAGGTGTCGCTGCATGGTTAAATGTGACGCTGAGCTGTATATAAAAGCAAAGAGCCTATATTGATCTATATCGATTGATATTGACCTATATAGATCAATATAGGCTCTTTGATACTATCAAGAGCGAATAATACATGTCTTATTAGCTTTGGATATTATAATAATATTGATATACTGTATACTTATGTGTTACATTGTATTTGAATTAATTGTTATATTATATTATAGATATATATACGTAACATTATACATTATAATTTATATGTATATAAAGTTTTCATGTCCTGACCGTGCGGAGCTGCCACTTTGCCGTGGTGGCAGCGTATTAGCATTGATATGTATATAAGAGCGATATATAGAAACAAACTTGAATTTTTTGCAGATACTGTGCATGCACGATCCCACATCTGAGCATATTGCACATCTGAGCGTGTGGGACATTATCTATTATTACAGAATTTTGAGAGGGCATTCTTTGCAAGCCAATAAATTGGTTAGGCAGAACTTCAGCTGATTAGCTGCGGTGCCTGGAACGCGAGAAAGCCGCAATTTGGAACAGTGGAATTTTACCCTCGGAAACTGGAAATGATCCCCTGCCTCTTTAGCAGTGGTATAAGATATCTGAGTGTATGTTATCAGGCGTGAATAATAATAGATTATCTATTCTTATTCTAGATATCTATTAGATCTACCAGGTTATCTATTATAATAAATATCGATTATTATTCACTCCTGATGTTATCCTGTGTGGCTCACAGTGTGGAGAGAATCCGCTCTAATAATCGGAACAACTCGGCTGTTTCCGTCGCTACCTGGGTTCTCCGAAAGAGGCGCTGTGCCTCGTGTGTATACTTGTGCTTGTGATCAACATGCTTCTCAGTTTGAGAACGTGTCTCCCTTCTAAGTATCTGTTGTATATCGTCCTCCTGGTTCATACACACATTATATAACTATTCGGTATGCCATATCAAAATGCTATTAGTATTACTATAACGTGTATTCATGAATAACAGTAATGCTTTAGTTACTCTGCTGTGTTGTTGACATTGTTGAACAGCAGCCAGTTCCACTGTACTGTGTACAGTCCGGGTGTACAGTACTCCGTAGCACTTGGTCAGACTCATGCTACGGTCTCACTTGCGCTATTTAACCTAGCTCAACGTACCGGGGAGTTAACGTACCGTAACGTACCATAACGTACTAGAACCTACCTCAGCGTATTGCAACCTAGCGTAACGTATCACAACGTACCGGCTAACGTACCCTTATGCATAGTTAACGTCGATCTAGCGTGGCGGCCAATTTAATTTTTGAACATGCTCAAAATTAGGGTACGTTAGCTGGCGTTAATGATAACGTACCGTAGCGTATCAGAACGTACCGTAGCGTATCAGAACGTACCTTAGCGTATCAGAACGTACCTTAGCGTACCTTAACGTATTGGCTTAAAACGTACTGACACGTAACGCGATACGTACCGCTATGTATCGCTAGCGGTATCGACACTTCCCGTCAACGAGTGACGTGAGTGAGTGAGTGAGTGAGTGAGTGAGTGAGAGTGATGAGTGAGTGAGTTGAGTATAGGGCCCAGTCACACACAGAGCTAACGCTCATTACGATCCCTCCTAAAAAAAAAAAAACCATTGCCGAGCCGGTGAGGCGTGTTGAGAAGCCCGGTGGCCCAAATTCGAGTTCGAAAGTCTCTTCCTAAAAACCGCAAGAAACATGGCAAATGGAAGTCCGTGTTTGCCTAAAATCAATAGTGGGACAACCGGGAAACTGGTTGCTGGCCCAAAAGGCGTAGCACTCCAAATTAAATCACAAACGTATGACATCGTGCTGAAACAGGGCGACAATTTTCGGCGCACCCACACGCTTGCGATAGCGCCCGCATCGACGATGCGTCTATCTCGAGTTTACGTGGGTACATACGCCTTCCACGTCTCTAATAACGGCCCGCACTAGCGCTGTGATTTCCCGCCACGCGCGCACCAACGATTATTTGAACTAATGTTCACAAGTTTGGCCACGCTCGCCCACGCTCATGCTGATGCACCGCGCAGCGATCACCGATCGCAGTACTGTCATAACTTTTCTTTTTGCCACAGCTGGCGTTCGACACGTTTTTTCACCACGCTCTAAGAGCGTAGGTACGGCGCGTAGTGAGATCGGGGGCCCGGTGTGACTGGTATAGGAGTGAGTGAGTGAGTGAGTGAGTGAGTGAGTGAGTGGGTTGAGGAAGTGAGTAGTGAGTGAGTGAGTGAGTGAGTATATATTATGAGTGAGTGAGCTGAGTAGTAAAGTGAGTTGGGTGAGTCAGTGATGAGTGAGTCAGTGAGTGACTCAGTGGTGGTGAGTGAGTGAGTGAGTCAGTCAGTCATGTCAGTCATCGTCAGTCAGTGTCAGTCAGTCAGTCAGTCAGTCAGTTCAGCGTCAGTCAAGTCAACAGGTCCGCGTAATTTTGGCCAATTTTGCATACAGTACGCTTCTGGACTTGAAATCATAAGCCATTGCCCCCAGATTTGCCGAATCTTTGCCTTGTCCTTCAGCAAGTCTGGGTGATTCTTGTCATAGAGTTCCGGGGGGTTGGCGCCTTCACGTAGCCGAAGACTTGGTCCTCCTGAGCTGTCGTGAGCTTCAGTCCACTCTTCCTGGTTTTCTTCTCAGTCTTCTTCTGAGGAGCCGTGGCCTTGGCCCCATCCAGCCCCTCAACCCTGTAGAGCTGCTCAGGCGTAGGGCTCCCCTCTCTGGACTGTCTGCCCTCCTCCTCCTCCTCCTCAACCTGGTCATATCTCCCCCTCTTTGACCTCCCCACCTCAACCTCCTGCTCTGACACCTGAAGAACTGTAGTCTTCCCTCTTCCCTTTGCTTTTCCACTTTTGCCTCTAGCCATTGTTAGAAATTTGAAGAAATATTTGGAATAAAACTGATGAGGTCTGATGCTGGTGAAAGCTAGAATGCAAATGGCGACGTACTGTACCGCATGCGGTAGCGAAATAACCCAGGCGCATGCGCGTTAACGTAGTGGCTAGCGTACCATAACGTACCTTAGCGTAGCGACATGTAGCGCAGCGTATCACAGCTTATCACAGTGTACCGGCTAACCTAGCGCAACGTACCTTAATGTACCGTAACCTACCACTACACGCACATTAACACCAACATTAGCGTAGCACAGCGTACTGTAACCTAGCGCAACGTACCTTAACGTACCTCTACACACTCCTTACCCAGTCATTTGCAGATTTTTAACCTACCTCAGTGTACCGTAGTGTACTACAACGTACCTTAACGTACCCTTATGCACCCAAATTCCTGATACGCTGAGGTAGGTTAATTAACGCAAGTGAGACCGAGGCATCAGAGTCATGGTAGCGTTTAAACCACTATATCGTAACTTTCGTCAGTGTTGGGGTACACCCCTCAAAATTGACAGAGGTCTTCTTTAGGGTGTTGTCTAATAATTTCTTGCACGAAATATGGCCCTTGTTGTCAGGAATTTGGCCCTCAGTAGTCACGATTACAGAATACAGTGTCATGGTTACAACTACAAGGATAGAGAGCATGGCGAGATTGAAAACTATGTAGCGTAACACATCGGCTTTGCTCTCACAACCATGCTCTCTATCCTTGAGCCATGCCATGCACAGGCACTTGGAACGTTGTACCAAAGTTTCTCTACTCTCTTTCGCGTATTAATACTATTATTAGTGATAATTTCCTGTAAATGCCCTTCAAAAGGCTCCTCTGCAGCACACAAAACAAACGCACGCAGAACACTGTGCCGTGTGCGCAGACATGCGTCTAAACAGAGGAATTGCTCCAACCTGTGATTGGAGGATAAAAATAGAATTTATGACGTTTCGTTTCACTGGTTATAGCCGCGCGTGCATATTTGCTAATTAATTAGACTAATCGCACTTCAATAGACTCAAAATTCACAGAGATTGAGGCTAAGACATGTGTCTATAATAGCTAGAATTTATAGAAATGTAACTCAAATCAATCGCTCTATATGATAGTTAGTACACGTTCCTACCGGTCATAGCATAATAGCGTATGCGGTGGGAGTGGGCGGGGTCTATTTTTATCTTCCAATCACAGGTCAGAGCAATTCCTCGGTTTAGACACATACAATGTGTGCGCAGCACTCGTACTAGTTGTAGACGAAAGAGAGTAGGTAAACTAAGGGTTATAGATAGTAGGTACAATTCATGTTTATTTACTATACTCTTATTATTAAAATGGCCTTAGTGCCTGTGAGTGTGATGCACACTGATGTGATGGAAATTGACTAGAAGTTCATAATGATTATCAGTTGCGTCCAACCGATCGGTAATAAATTATGACATTTAGTCTCGCACATAGCTTATGTGAACCATATGAAATTGACAATATGCTGCGAGTGTAGTTTATCAATACTAGTATTACTTTTTATTGTTATAATTCCTATGTACTAACTATAGTTTTGTCATTTTCTAGGCTGAAATAGTGTGAAGATGAGAAATCTAAAATTGATACAGCATCACTGCCATGACAGCAAAAGAGCAATGGGTGCTGATCATATGTCAGTTTCGGAGAATAATATCTATATCAGTGCCAACGATGCTCTATATATAATCGACGTAAACAACGATTTTGAGGCATGTTTACTGTTGTTTAGTTTTATCACTGATATAATTATAGATAGGATAATTTTATTAATATATTTAATCCCATGAACACGGTTAAAGGGATACTTTTCCCTAGAATTTGAGAGTATATTAGGATAGTAGATTCATAAATTATAGCATATACCTACAAATTTCTATAATTACGCATTCACATTTGTCATAAAACAACATTGAATTTCGAAATCTTAATTTTTTGGGCGCTGACATGACACCCGCGGTCGTGCTGCTACCCTGATAAATTTGCTAATTTATTTTGCACGTTACAAATCGAGGGCTAATCACAAAAGTGCAATTATAGTTGTACCTAAATGCTATTTAACCGACCGATATGCATTTTAGGACAAATTCGTCCATATTATAACTGAAGCTAGGTGTTGTTTATAAGATATTGCAATCCTTCTGCTCTTAAATTAATAAATAAGAAACACACTCGGTCTGTAGCTTGCAGCCGAAACGTTGCTTTGCGCAACTTTTTCAGTGGATGCGCTGCCAGTGGCGCCGTCTTCGTAAGCAACAGTATAGCCGTCAGTTTTAAAACGCTTTTTAAAAATATTTCTAATAAATATTGAACCATAATTTAACCTTTTATGTATTGTAAGTATTGTAAAATTGTTTTATTTCAACCTAAAACCTAGTTCAACCTATTTGAACTGAAAATATTAGAAGAACCTCGAGTAATGTATCCCTTTAACCTGTAATGTGGTACTATGGCTGGTGACATAGCTATGCTACATCTATAAGTCTGCTCCTGTGCGACATAGAATGCATGATGATGATCATAAAGACCAAGATTTATTCTTGTGTGTTACTGAAATTTATGAGGCTCTGATGAGGAAATGTGATTTGAGTTCTCGGCTAGTTTTGTGTACCAGTTTACAATTTTCCAAATACTGGCATGTAACGTCTTAAATGAAAGGAAAATTTGTCCAAGTATAGGCTTCTCTGATTCTATTAGATGTAATAATAGTTTCAACTTGAGACCCAGAAACCTTTATATATATTTCTTTCAATTCACTAGGTGGACCATGTGCCTCTGACTGAAGAAGGAGTTAGTGGTGTGACAGGAGAACAAGTTGCCGGGCTTCAGTATTTGATGGAGAATGACTGCCTTTGTGTGGCAACAGTTCAGGGCAACATCATCCTCTATCACAAAGAAGTGTGTCATCCATATTCACACAATATTATATATCATATTCATTATATCAGGAGTCTATCAATATATTATCTATCTATCTATCTATTATCTATCAATATTGATAGACTCCTGATTATATATCATATTCACACATATAGTGTGAATATTTGACATATAATGTGTACACTAGTATACAGATGTTTGTGTTTTACATTTATAACCTACTGCATTTATGTTTATGTTCTGCTGCGGTTCTGTTCCTACACGTTTATATGTATCTCTGGCCATAGTTGTACTTTGAATTGATTAAATTGAGGAAAGATCAATGTGTATTTCAAGTATGTTAATTGTATGTGTTATTTTAGGTGGAGGTCGTTGGATGTGTTGACACTGGAATCAGGGCAGTAAGCTGGAGCCCGGACCAAGAACTTGTTGTTATAGCTACAGGTATTAAGTCAAAATCTATTACGCACTTTTTCTTAAATTCAGTCATTTTGGCTGTTTAGTAACCACAAATGTGTGTTCTCATTGGTAGTTGCTTTACTTGTTGCTTTTGTTATATCAGTATAAAAATCGACAGCATTTATGATGAATCTTGCCAAAGTCCTGCACACAATGATTTGTTAAGGATACAGCTGTTCTCTGTTACAGGATCTGATACGCTTATCATGATGACGAAAGATTTTGACCCTCTGACAGAAGTTAGCATGAATCCGGAAGAGTTTGGCGAGGGTGCGTATTTATCATTTCACAGATCATGCAATATGGTTTCCTAATGCATCTTCATCTTGGATCACCGATCATCTTCAATAATCGGCTAAAATTGTTTGTGTTGTGTATACGTAAAGTGTATTACGTACACTAGGAGTATAAGTACACTATTTTAGGCTTTCATGATTCCTATAAGTCAGTCAGGTACCTTTTATAATATGCTAATATGAAAATGTCATTAATGGAATAATACAACGAATAGTATCTTCTGTAGTGATTGATATAATCAGTTACATTTGTGTTTGTAGCAAAACCTGTTACTGTTGGTTGGGGAAAAAAGGAGACTCAATTTCATGGATCTGAAGGAAAGCAAGCAGCTATAATCAAAACCAAGGTGCATACAGTGTTGGTTACTACTGATGAGGAAATGATATCAATTTACTAAGAATTTCATATATTTTCTCCAAGTGGATTGCATAAACTTCAATACGGTCAAATTAGAAATTATTCTGCCTACCCAATGCAGCACTGTATGATATGCAGTAATCCATTCAATATATGACCATATTAGTAGGTATGTAAAGGCAATATAACTGTGGTAGCCATAGTTTTGTGCAACTTTTATTGCCATGCTGCAGACGGTAGAACCAGCAGTTGCATGGGATGACAAACTACCACGGATAAGCTGGAGGGGAGATGGCCAGGGTTTTGTTGTCAGCACAGTTAACTGGACCACAGGTACACCTGACTATTTAATAATGTCTTTTTAATCGATCTAATCCAAAAGTAAAAAAAATACCCTGAATTATTTTGTGATTTCTTTCTTCAGTGGTACAAGTATCAAATGTGTTTTTTTGTAATATCTTATTTGTGATACCCTTCACGTGCTATTGTATTATATTGTTATGGTAACTAGAGCTCAGTGGAAACATTTCGCAAACTAAAAGGAAATAACGTGCACTCATGACATGCGATTTATTTGGTATCATAGGTAAACTTAATTTGATCAAATAAATCACAATGAGTTACCGAATTTGCAGCATGCACACGCTCGCACCTACCCAAGCATTCATGCACACACAAACACAAATAGGTACAACAGTCTCTCTATTGTCATCGTGGTGTAAGTTGCGATCGTACTTTTCAGCGCGATAGAATTAATTTGCTGCTTTTCTAGACCCTTTTTTTATTGCTCAATATTGGCAGGTGCGAGACAGCTCAGGGTATGGAGCAGAGACTGTGTGCTACAAGCCACGAGTGAAGACGTCAACAGTCTGGAACAGGCGGTATCTTGGAGGTACGAAACACGAACAATATTGTCCACGTTAGGTTGTCCGGTATAGGGTTCAATCCAGCTGGTGTGACTGTGACTGCAGGGTGACTGTCGTGTGTAGAATAGTAGATCGTTGGGGGTGTTGTAGATATCACAATATAGTCTAAGAGCCAATTCTCAAGACGTGTCTAGAAAATTAAAAACTTGGCACACCACCTGCATACTTCGCCTAGTGCTATTTCCCTGGAATATTTCTAGGTATGATGTTCTGATGAATATCGTTTAAATATTGCCTTGTAATGAAGTGTTTCCAACCACTTTCTGCCAACATTGTATGTTTGCAGAAGAAGCATGAAGTGTTCCTCATGACAAGAGAGCTTTTAATTGCATAGTTTTTTGTAATGACATGTGATGACATACCCTAAAAATCCATATCTCAACATGAAGAGCAGTTTGTACTCCTTCTGAAAATACGTACATATCATTTAGGTGCAAGTAGTTGGAAAAGCTTTGTTACAAAGGCGTATACGAACAATGCCCCCTTGAGTTTTCACGAACAGAAATGATTAGGTACCAACAAAATTGGGGTCTGGCATGATGATGTGCCATCGTTTTCTTAGTGCGCTATGCCTGAAAATATTCTATAGATATAGTTTATCATTTTATAGTATCAGGTTAAGTATACGCAGGTTGGGTGCCATGTTTTCATTTTTTTGGGGTTCTGATTCGTAGACTAATAAGAGGCGTTATTAGATATTTCCATATCAAGCAGACAGCTGTGAACAAGCTTAGAAAAGCAATGAAGATAATGCTCTGCTAGTGGGTCAACAACCGATATATATA